GAGGGCTGGCTGCGGGAACGTAGCCCGTAGTCCTAACCCTTCTGCCATGCACCTTCAAGGTGGCCCCAAGCCAAGCCCCCACCTCCCCACATTGCCCGGGACCCAGTGAAGTCTGTTGAGAGCCCTGCTTCTGGCTACCTCTTCCTTGTTTAGACTGTAAGCTCTTTGGGGCAGGGACTGCCTCTCATTGTGTGTATGCACGTTGCCTAGGACAATGGGGTTCTGCTCTCAATTGGGGCCCCTCAGTTCTACTTTAAAACAGTAATAAAATACAGCAAGTGAACCTTTGCCATTAGTCCTTTAGAATGCTCTAAAGAGCTTCCCTCCTTGTAAATTCTTTCCTAAAACAGCCCTTTTATATACAATGTTTAATGTGAAAAAAACATAGTGCATTAACATTGTAATATAAAATAGAGCCCAGACATTCCAGCTGTGTGACAACAGTATCTCCTTGCTGCTCATAAGGCCGAATACACTTGCCAGTAGTATGCAGCTGTTCACAGTCTCCTGTCCCCCTTTATGCAGTTATTTGGAAAAGCAAAAGTCCTACTCCCGGTGATCTTTCTATGCCAGCAATAAGTAAACCCTTTCGTTCCATTAAACCTTTGGCCTACGATTACAGTTGGCTATTTTTGGAACAGTCACTTTGCGGCACTGAAGAATGTCTAATGCATTTTTAAAGACCAAGGGGGCAATCTCAGATGATAAATGTTCATTGTACATATCAAGTGTGCTCTGCAAACATTAATAAATGTTTCAAGATGACTGCTGCATTAGATGTTGCCAGAGAAATCTCTTTGAGAGAACTTAGACACTAGAGGGAAGACCAAGCTGTCCCTTTGTTGATGTCTCTCTGGATTGACAGATGGGTAGATAAATAGTTAGGCAAGTTGAAAGGACTTTTTAAAGAGAGCTGGTCATAAAACAGGGTTCTTTCCAGGGAAAATTTTGACTTTCTGGCAAAATAACAAATTAATATAAATTTGAGCTGAAAATGGAAACATTTCTGATCTGACAAATGCCACTGAGGGCTCCCCATGAGACCTGTAGTTTGAGTTCTTTCTCCAGACCAGCTTCCTTGGTCAGACTACGTCTCCCAAAGGTATCGTCTAGGCAAGGAGAGCTGATGCACCATGGAAATGTCATGACCATTGTGCATCTTCAGGAAATTCAGTCTGATTGCGGAACCCAACCCAAGGAGGAGAATGGGAGCATGAGATACCCAAACTGCAGGTGGCATTTCTGAATAGAAATATTCCGGTTTTCAGACATTTGGTATTTTTTAACAAAACAAAAGCAAATGACACTTTCTGCTGAAAACAGATACTTTTTGCAACAAAATTCATTTAGTCAACCCCCCCGATTTCCCATGGAAAAACAGATGCCATACAATTTTTTTGAGTATCCCTGGTTTTCCATTACTATTGTATACTGTGTACAGATGTGGTCTCCTCACCTCAAAAAAGATATTTGGCCTTGGAAAGGGTTCAGAAAAGGGCAACTAAAATAATTAGGGGTTTGGAATGGGTCCCATATGAAGAGAGGCTAAAGTGACTGGGACTTTCCAGTTCAGAAAAGAGGAGACGGAGGGGGGATATGATAGAGGTCTATAAAATCATGAGTGATGTGGAGAGGGTGAATAAAGAAAAGTTATTTATTAGTTCCCATAATAGAAGAACTAGAGGACACCAAATGAAATTAATGGGTAGCAGGTTTAAAACAAATAAAATAAAGTTCTTCACACAGCGTGTAGTCAACCTGTGGAACTCCTTGCCAGAGGAGGCTGTGAAGGCTAGGACTATAACAGAGTTTTAAAAAAAGATACATAATTTCATGGAGGTTAGGTCCATAAAAGGCTATTACCCAGGGGATAGAAATGGTGTCCCTGCCTCTGTTTGTCAGAGGCTGGAGATGGATAGCATGAGACAAATCGCTTGATCACTGTCTTCGGTCCACTCCCTCTGGGGCACCTGGTGTTGGCCACTGTCGGAAGACAGGCTACTGGGCTAGATGGACCTTTGGTCTGACCCAGTATGGCCGTTTTTATGTTCTTACGTATGTACTTCTTGAATGTGGTGGTCTATATTGTCTGAGTGTTTGTGTAACTTCGGTGTGACTGTGAGTCATGCATGTGACTAGAGAGTGGATGATCATCCATTTCCACAGAGACTTCTACTTGCTGATTATAATGTGCTGGGGATAAAGGCAATGAAAGGTCATCTTTATGTTCGCCAAAGCAGCCACATAGAGGGCTAGGAAACCAGGTGTCTTTGTCCTCCCACTTCAAGCCTAGGGGAGCCCTTCCCTCCATTTGACCATGCACAATGGAGGCTCTCCGAGGACATTAGGGCAGAGGGAAAATGAGCTTAGGATCGCACTCCATGCAATATTCTCTTCTGGATTCAAGGGGAAATACAAGGGGCAATGAAAGCCTCCTTTAGCCTGTCTCCTGTGAGAGGGGTAGTATTTTGATGTAACATTGGGAGCCATGCTGCCTGTGGGTTGAGCACACTCCTCATTGATAATCCATGTAACTCCTCAGCTCACCTCCCCTTGTGACGGGTCTCTCAAATGCTGCAGGCCCAGTCAGGGGCTGTGTGCTTAGACTCTGGAGAAGCCATAGCTTGTTATATAAATAAAACACAGTTCTGATTTACACTTTGGCCATGTCCACAGTACAAGTTTTTTGTGCAAAAACCTGTGGTGCATCCACACCTCAACCATGGTTTTGCGCAAGAAAATCTACAGTCAATCAACACAACAGAGGGGTTTTTGCGGGGTAAGTATACCTCCTTCTGAGAGGAATAACTCCTTTTTGAGCTACAGCTCTTGTGCAAAAAGGCATGTGTGGATGCTCTGCAGGGGTTTCTTGTGCTCTGTTGGCCATTCTGTGAACGATCTTTGTCCATGCAGTGTGGACGTTCTTTTGCGCAAAAGTGCATCTCAAAAGCGATGTGCTTTGAGGTGTGGACGCGCTTTTGTGCAGGAAGTTTTTGCAAAAAGCTTCTTGCACAAAAACCCTGCCATGTAGATGTAGCCTTTATGTTCCTGGTCTCACTCTGGTTTTTGGAATATAGAGGGTGCAGCTTACACCCCAAGGAAAACATTCTTGGCTGCTGGCTGTGTTAACAAGAACAATAAAAGCAGGGACCCTGAACTCCCTGATGTTTGAGGACCATGGTCCTTTGCTCTTTCCACAATGCAAAACCTTTCCCTGACATGGAATAAAACCTGCACAAGTTAATGCCTGTGGGAGTGGAAGGTGCATCTCTGAACCCCTAGCAATATATAACTGCTGTTGGCTTCCCTGCAAGGGAAAGGGGCTGCAAAATCAGGCTGGTGCATTCATACCACTTCCCGTCCAGTGTTCTTTTCCTGTCCAGCCTGGGTCTCAGGCAGGTGAGAGGTTCCTTTGGGCTTCTAGCCCTTCCCAGCAGCAATACTGGGATTCTACTATCCCCTCTTGTGAGCTTACTCCGGGGAAGGGACCTCATCTTTGCAATGCTCTCTGCCTGGCAGACAACCAAAGCCCAAAATTTGGCTGGCTCCAGAACACAAGGCAAGACTCATTTATTTGGCTTTCAGCTCTTGGTTGACTTTTTTCTCCCCATGACAGCATGGCTGCTGGTGTTTCTGGAAGGGAACACTGCCTACTGAAGGGAACTTTATACACATGGCTTTAAGTTTTATAAATAAGCTCCTAGTTGCCACGGCGATGGCAAGGGGCCTGATCCTGCACAGGGCTCTGTCCTGCAACCAGGGGTCTCTTTGGATCAGGCCTAGACTTCAGCTCGCAGTCCTTAGTTGCGTGAGTAATCTCTGTGCACACATTGGAGGTGGATGCAGCAGAGGATTTGGAGAGTGAAGGCCTGTGTTCTGTTCTGACCTCTGCTACGTACCTGACGGGTGAACTTGAGCCATTTGCTGCACTTCTCAGAGCCTTAGTTTCCCCTTCCATTCTCGGCCTGCCCTATTTACAGTGTGAATTCCCTGGGGCAGGGACTGTGGCACTAAAGCCTCCCACGCCCTCACAGACAAAACAGTGAGGCCCTGATCTTGGTTGAGGCCTCTGGCGGCTGCTGTCACACAAGTAACACAATGGGTGCAGCTGAACTCACTGGAGCCTCTCCATTTCCTGAAGGGTGATAATCATGCCAACCCAGGTTTTTAAAGTGCTTTGTGATCCATAGATGAAACTGCCCTGCAGTCTTGCCTGCTGGAAGGTTTTCAGCTAGCAGGGTAGCTACAATGTTGCTTCACACCAGGTTGGTTGCAGGGAGCAAGTACAAGTTTATACTGATGCAGCAGGTCTACACTGGGGTTTGCATCGGTTCAGCTACACTATTGCTGTGCCCCCAGTATGGGGCAGGCCTAAGTGCTCAGCTAGATTATTTATATCTGACTATTTATCTATGGTAGTGTAAGTGGTCTAAGTGCCACTACATGCCACCAGGGGCGGATGAGAGTTTTGCGGGGCCAAGGGCCCGGGGCCTACTGAAGCGTGAGGCCCAGGGCAGCACAATTTCGCACATGCACTGACAGGCAGTAGCGCGTGCACAGGGTGCCCCGCTTGCCCTGCTCTATATCCGCCACTGCGTGCCACTAGGAGTGTGGGTTACAGTGCCACCACTGAATAGTGGCTGCTTTCTGGACACACTGCTCTGAGACCGTTATCTGAGGACAGACTAATTGATGGAGGTTGTTGGGAAGGAATAGAAACAGCAATAAGCAAGTGCTATATAATTTATATCCAAGTCAGTTTGATTCACTGTAAACAGTGTGGCAGAAGTAGGTCTGATTATTATTATACATATATAATAGTAGTCACAGGGTAGAGATACACGTTTAAAGAGACCTAGAGGGAATAAAAATAAGCTATGCCAGGAGTGTTGTACTGACAAAGCATGAGCAAGGCGTAGATTCTCAGGGAATTGTTCTATTGGTGGTTGGAGCAAATGGATGACACTAACATGCTGCATTTTTTTACCTGTGTTTTTCAGTAAAGAGTACCCGGTGGTTCCTAGGAGCACGGTGAGACAAAAAGTGTCTTCTAATCACAGCCCTTTCAGTGGTGAGACCAGGGTTCTCTCGGCCTCCTCCAACCTAGCATCCCAGTATCAGTGTGAGAATGGGGTGTCTAGCACCTCCCAGGACCTGTTACCACCTGCCAATACGTTCCCGATCTCCCAGGAGCATGGCCAGATCTACCACTGCACCAAGAGAAAAGGTCAGGCCCTGGCAACTTCCCCCTTATCTCGCTCATTGGTTCCCCATGCAAACATGCATGTTAAACCCATTTTGCATTCCTCACAAATACCTGATTTCCCAGCCATGGCTTAAAATTAGGCTCGAAATTGTCCTGTATCATTGTCACCGGTGTTACAAGCTTTGGGCCACATTCTCACACATTGTAAATCACTGCAGAAGCAGTGCTGAATTGCACTGGCTAGAAGTTGCCTCACGGCTGTTAGTCAGAGCAGCCCTAATGAAACACAGAGGTGGCAACACAGCTGTATACAAGTCAAATCCACATCTAGAAAGATAGCCAGTGGCTGAGATAAAGATGACTTATCAGTCTTTTATAGCCTCTGAGAAGGTCTAAAGCTCAGTCTAAACAGGCACTTACCTAATGTATTATGGGTTACAGGTGGTGTTTGATAGACACACTCTTACATTTGGGTCCAAAACATCCCAATGCAGACAGTCCATTTTAAATTTTTGCCCAGTGAATAGGGAACTGGACTGGGAATTAGGAGACCTAAGTTCTATGCCACTAACAGCTGTGTGACTTTAGCCCAGTCCTGCCAAAGCTTTACTGGGAACCCTGGATTCAGACTAAGGAGCAATTCCAGGCATGAGTGACCCTGCTAATATCAATGGGACTGCTTTTGGGAATAACTGCTCACCAGCAGGAGTAAGGAGTATGTGGTCAGTGGGGAAATGCTTGCAAGTTTGGGCTATATAGGGGGAGGAGGGAAATAGAGGCTTCCCCAGCATTGATTTTCAGGCATAAAGCTGCTATTGGTCACTTTTATTAGCATTATGGTAACATCGAGAGGGTCCAACTGAGATCACCATACCCTTCTCAGTATTGTACTTACATGCAGTAAGACATGGTGACTGGCCAGAGGATCTTATAAGCTAAATAGAGGCAAAATGACAAACAGCAAATCAGTCAGGAACAGAACCCAGGACTTCTATAGCATGAGTCAACACCCTGTGCAAGTAAACCAGCCCCATTCAGAGACAGATTCTGATCCGGTAGCTCACTTAGTGATGAGAAATCTGCCACCCTTCCCTTCTCCCCCGTTAGTTTGAGCCCTGCCTCCAGTGCATCTGAGCTTTGCTCCCTTGCACAACTAGCTTAACCTTTGCCAGACCCTCTTCCCCCAGCCTCTTTTTTTTAAAACAAGAAAGCCCGGAGGACAACAAACACACCGGGCAATCTTTGACTGCTCTGTGTCCTGGCCACAGAAAGCAATTCATCATCTGCCTCCACATTGTAAAGTGATAAGGAATCAACAGAGGTTTCCTTCCAGTTTTGGGATTCCCGCTAAGTGGTGGCTCCATGGGTGGTTTCCCTCAATCCCCCAATTATCTCACTTCCTCTTATTGTCACAGAAGGGAAGATATCTCCTCGGTAATAAGTGCACCAGCCCCTTTTGGCGTGCATGGTCCTGTGAAAGTGCAGGGGGGCTGGCAAAGAGAGCCCGCGTCTGGGCCACCGCTGTCTCCTTGCTATCTCTTCAATGGCATGAGTGGCACAAGCAGTTAAGGGCCTTTTATCAAAGCCGCCAAATGCTTTAATCAAAGAGCGGCAGTGTCCTGTCAGATATCACTGACTTCTTCCGTGAGCCTACGACTGTCCCTCTCAGGAGCCTGAATCTCTGCCTTCCTTTCTGTGCTTCCCCTCATGCATCTAATAAATCGAAAACAGCCATCATGGCATAAAGGGAAGAAACAAGAAGTTAATGGGAACCAGAGAGCGCTAACATAGCTGCCAAGCGGCTCTTTGCAAAGTGAGATTAATTAAAAAGAAAAGTAACAAAGAATGAGCAGACTGGTTGGGATAAATCAGAACCTGACCTGAGCTTTCACCTGAATCTCAGGCTGCATTTGTCACGTGTCACTTTCCTCTAATACTGAAAGAAGGAACTTTATTAGAATGAGGAAAACAGTCTGCCCCTAACATGCGCTCTCTCTCTTCACTTCCCAGTAGAGCCGCCAACTTTCCTGGTTCCAGCTCCTACCTGGCTTCCTGCTACAGTTTTAAAGACATAGTGCACATCACCTCACATCTTTTCCTCTCTCCCCCACTTTCTTTTCTTTGTAAAAAACTTTTAATGAGCTTGAATACTTAACAAAATTATAACCTTCAGAGATTCACTAATAACCCAGCTCTAGTCAACTTCTAGCCTTGAGGAAGATTTTCTCCAATTGATTTACTTGGTTCAGCAAATCCCCAGAGACATTAACTCCTTTATATTCATCTCAACAGGAATATCTCCTTTCAGCAAGGCTGTGCTGTGGGTACCACTTTGCTCCCTGTCCAGCTGGGTTCAGAACTAGCTGAAGATGCCATGAAGGCTGTTAAGAGTATAACTGCAACAGCTAGTCATGTCCAGTTTTTCCTTATCCATTTTCATCAGAAGTGGATCTCTCTAGGGTTGGTTAACTTTTGGTCTGTATGCCAAAGACTTAAGGAGAAATTCTGAGGCATTGCACATCTCTCAGCTACTTGCTAGGACAAAGACTTGCATCTCTGGTGAGTAGCATTGTTCTAATCTGTTGAGCAAAGCTGTGCTTACCCTGCTGACTGATATGGGAGTTACTCTGTAGGTGAGCAGTTGGGCTAATATGGGATTCCATTGATGTGGAATTCTCTTAACAATCTGTACTGCTCAGGGACCACACTGAATCTTTCTACTCATGGGTGACAAGAGCTGAAAGTATTAGGGTGAAATATTTTATCCCCAAAGCCTGTACTTGAGAGCTAACAAACTCTGAGAGAGACAGTTTCTTTGGGGATGGTAAAAAGAGAGAAGAAAAAAAAACTTTTAATTTTCCTCTAGCTCATTGACTTATGCATCTATTAGGAAATAAAATTTCTACAATATAGAAAAATAATCAGTGGTTCCCATTCATGTATGTCCCTTTTTGTCACACGTCTCTGTATAATTTTGTGTATACAAGTGATTCTTTGATTTCTGGTAATCCCATGACTCTACTTTGTTGTTCAGCACCTACCTATTCTAGGCCTCCACATCAGCATTTGGACCATCTCCTAGAATTTCGAGAAGTCCTTAGGTAACCTTCATTATTCAACATCCTGCAAAGACCAAAAGACTAGAGTATACGTGCTACAAATAATCAGACTTTCAGCTTTGAAAAGTTCTTATCTTTTTCTCTAGGAGTCACATGTTAGATGAGGATGCCCTGACAAGTAATTGGTTTTACTGGTCATCCGTATGAAACTGGATATAGTTTGTAGTTGTTTATCTAGGCTAGTATTACAGTACTACATTTCAGTGGCGAATCTGGCAGGCTACTTAAGAGGGCACCCACCTAAGCTCCTCTATTATATTAAACGTCTGCAATCTTCAGTATGATACAAGTCAGAACTAAGTGTTTTTCTGGGGCTCTATTTTGAATAAATCCTAATTTGAAAAAATTTAGGGGCAGTTTCAGGAGATAGCTCTAGGTTTTTATTGTTTTTAATGGCTTGACTTGCTTGCAGTCTATTCTAAGCTTCATATAGAAAAATGAAATATTTTGTGGCCCTCTTGCATGCACATACAATGGACATTCTCTATAATTGGGCATACTTGATCTCAGCATCTGAAAGTCATCTAGAATAATATGCTACAGGCTTCCAGTCACCATGGTGTAACTGAGACTTTTGTTGTTTGTGTCTTCTGAAACTGCCGTAGTCTTGAAAACCTCATAAAATGGCAATATTAGAGATGAGATCAACAGAGTCTTTAGTTACTTCAGTGCATTCCTGTGTTCTGTTCATACAGAGTGTTTAAAGTAGTTCATAAAGAGAATGGTTTTTAGATGACAGGTTAGTTACACAATATTTAGCTCCAAATTGTTGTGCCAGCGAACTTGGAGATAATCCAATCCATGGCAGGAAAAATATGACTCTCTCTCCTTACTGCTTCACTAAGCCTCATTAGGTCTGCACAGATATCGAAATAACCATTTTTCTTATAATAGGCACTATTAGGGGACATGCCTCTGTCAATTCAGTATTGCATTCTTATACCATTCTGTCCCATCCTACACATTTCTTTCTTCCCTTTGGAAAGCAGCAGGATTGGTGCCTTCTCTGCATGCTGGACAAGTTAGCTATAGCCCGGTCTTTCAATAGAATTTGCAGAAGTTCTCCTTTAAGGCCTCTCTCTTTTTTCCCCTCCATATATCATCCTTTGCCTCGGTGGTGCTGTTCAGTTAAAGCAATTACTTATGGTTATCCTGTTAATACCAAAAATACCAAATACATATTCCCTGCCATTGTTGCATTGGTTTTGACTTGACCATGTGAATTTATCTGTTTCTATAGGACATTGAATCCTACACCCTGGCATGCTTCACCTATGGGATCTCTCCTCCATATATTCCATACAAATTGCAGCCATCTTTGCCCCTGAATCTATTTTATGTTTAACAGCAGTACTGCAGATCTTTAAATTGTTGTACCAATAGAGCTATGCTGGTTTATAGGAGCATAGCAGTTGGTCCTAAGTCCATTTATGAGTCCTGGTTTTGAACCCACTTCCCACGATACAACCTTGCTTCCCTCAGATTAATTTTTCTCTTTGCTTCTTTTCATTGGCCTTATAACTTTTGGCTTGTTATTGAAACCCAGGGAGAGTAAACTAGACTGGGTGGAATAATAATAACAAAAAGCATTCAAGCCTTCACCATAAATTCAAATTGAACCCACCTGCATTTTTTGAGCCTGCTGAATGTGGACAAAGTTTTTCTTGTAAACAAAGCAGGACTCAATTCTTCATTGTCTTGAATCTAGAGGATCAGATCCTCATTGACTTGAAGGGAACAACCCTGCTCTACATCAGCTGAGGAGCTGACCCACAACATACAAAACCATCCATATAGTTTACATTTTTGTACCTCGTTCTGCATGGAACCAGCGACAGAAATGTGCAAATTCCATTTGAAAAGCTGTGCTTGTGGTATTTACGACCCAGCTGGAAGTCATAAATACCAAAAATCTTGAGTTCAATTATATTCAAGTCCTTTCAAGAAAAGGAGCACCAAATTCCTTGTGAGGAAGCCAGTTCTCCTGAAGTTTCCAGCTAATTTAGCAGTCTCCGTTTTGCTTGGATACACTTAGGAGAATCTTTGCCCAAATGTTGTCTGCTTCTCCACACACTGCAGAACCTTTGATCCTTTGAGATTTGCCCATAATAATAGATTGATTTTATGAGATGATCAGCAGGCCCAATTCCTCGTGATGGCAGCCAGAAGTCAGGGTGTTTGGCTCCATGCAAGACTGGGCCTAACAAGAATTAATATATTAGAAAGCTATGAAGGTATTAACATCAAGGAAAAATCACACAAGACCAGTTCCTCAGATGATGTAAATCTGCCCACTTAAGATTCTATGCTCTGTTCCCTTTAAGTTAGGCTGAGGGGGAGATGTCTGGACAAGGGTTATGGCCCTTGGATTCTCGGTTCTGGCCCCAGAACAGTTTAGAGTTGTTAGGGGGTTGCTCTAAACTGCACTAGATAATGATGAGTCCATTTGACAGCTATAGGGCAGGGGACACAGGAATTCGATCTGTACGCTCTGTGCCTGTGCAGGGCTCCATGCGGGGACTTCCAGTGGGGAGCTCTAGGAAGAGAGGAAAGGGAGCAGAGCAGAGAATCTGGCCACATGGAACTTGGCATCAATTGCACAACTACACAGTGACATCTATTTTCAAGATGAGCCTGGCATTGAAGAACTTTTTCAGAGAATGAGCATGGGTGGGACTGGAAAGATGCTCCAAAGGCATCATCTGGGAACAGTGAGGATAAACTGCAGAATTATTTTTCGGGGCTGGTATCAGGGTTTAGGAGAAACTGAAGCAGAGAGCCTGTTCCTCAGCCAATATCAAGCAGCATAGTTCCAGAAAGGTCACAGGCGCTTTGCCAGTTTATATCAGCTGAGGGTCTGACCTATCGTGTCCTCATTTTACAAAATGAAAGTCAGGTTTATTTTTCCTCTGCACCTGACAGCAGATCTGGAAAAGGGCCTATAACTTGGAGAGGTTTGCCTGGTTATGCTGTGGTGGGGACAAGAATGTCCTGACTAAATGGAAAAATCAACAACGTAGGTTATAACTCAAGCAAATTCTCAGTACAATGGAAAAACACAGAGTTCATCTATTTTTTTCAAAGGAAAATAAACAGTAAAACCCAGGGCTAGTGTTTCCCAGTGCCAGCAGAGCATGGCTGAGGCTGTCTTACAGCTCAATGTTGAAAAATTTATTAGCAGAACAATGCTTCATTTTACAACGCAGTGTTCTCATTATTCAGTTGCAGTCAGAATTTTGAAATATTCAGGAGCATTCACATAGGATCTTACTCTAAATCCTTCTCCTGAGATAGGCCCAGATTCAGGAAAGCATAAAAGCATGTGCTTAGCTTTAAGCATGTGCATAAATCTCATTGGCTTCAAAAGAATTTTTAAATGTATGTACCTTTGCTGAATTGGAGCTTTCATGTCCATGCTTCCCTGACATGGGATGAGCTCTGTCATAGTATTAATGAGATCCATCAGATCAATGATAATGAGAATAATGCACTCTTATATTCAAGTAATAATTGTTTAGCAGCTGAAAGCATATAATATATCCACTGATTATCAGTGTAAACAATTTATATCTGTGTCTATAACTAAAGACTCAGATTTCTGATGTTTGCTTAAAATGTGGATGTGTTGAAGATAGAATTGCAATCCTTTAGAAATGAATTTGGCCACAAATATATGAATTTGGATATATGGGAAATTGTTTACAAAATTAAGGAGCCCAATCTTCAAAGCAGTGAGCTATGGGAAATCCTGCAAAAGCTTGTTTCACTGGTTGCATCAACAAAATCTTATATATGCATATTTTCCTCATGTCCCCGTTTTCCTCTGTTGTCTGGGTATTGCACAGGAACACATTTGCCACTATAAAATGGCCAGGTACTCCCATGATGCACTGTGGTGGTCCAGCAAGAGGGGATCATGGGAGGTATAGTCTGAGAAGCAGCATGTGCAAAGGCTAGATTTTGCAGGCACCCAGGTACATGGGCATTTTTTCAGGCACAATATGTTCAGACTTATATTTGCAAGAGACTACACATGTGCAAAGGTAATGGTTGTACAGTACATGTATTTTGAGGGTAATACGTGTGTTCACATATTTTGGTGTGTACTATCACATTCATTCTTCACTACAGCTGGTCTGACAGTGCTCATTTCTGTCCCTTCCCTCCCCACATGCCCATGACAATTTTGACTTCCTGTCAAAAAAAAATCCAACATTTTTAGCCCCCAAAAAGAACATTTTGATTTGAACAAATGTGACTTTGGTACCTCATAGGAGTTTCAGTTTGCAAGCCACATGCTTTGATTCTCCTCTATAGAATGGGATATCAGGGCAGATTACATCTCTCATGATGCACCAGGCTCTCCCCCTCCTGGTGGACCACTGCCGGGGATCAAGGGAATCTCTGGCCTCTCTCTGTCATGGAAAATGAAGTCTTGTTGCATAACCCAGGTTAGGAAGGATAATAGGGACCCAAGGAATATAAAATACAACTCCTCTGAGGCACTGTGATGATAATTCCAAATAGATTTTTTTCCAATTTTGAACCAAAAACTGAAAACCTTTCTATTCTGAAGAGTTTCATTTTTCAATGAGAAGTTAATTTTAGTGTGTGAAAAGCAGATACTTTTCACAGAAAAACCTTTGAGAGAGAACGGGGTTTTCAATACACCATTTAGATAGAAAGTTTTTGATCAGTTCATCTTTGCATCTTTCTTTGAAGACTCGGCTTCAGGAGTCCATGTTTCTAGATATTTTCTAGACGTGATTTAAAGTATGGCGGGTTTGCCAACATTTGGAGTCAAGAATGGCTGTTTATCCAAAAGAGATGCTACAGCCACAATTACTAAATGAGGTTCTACAACCTGGATTCTGCTGGAAATCAGGTTAGATCATAGACTAGATCCTCACCAAGGTCCCATATGTCGTTAAAAATACAGGTGAAATCTTCTCTTGTAGAAAGCAATGGGAGTTTTGCACCTGCTTTCAGTGGAGCCAGGATTTCAACTGATGACTAAATTCATATTTATTTAGTATTGCTCCTGAGATTTGCATCTCAGCTATTTCTCTTATTCCTCTTACTGCCATGAACTCGACCACTGATGCTGCAGAATCCAAAGACAGCCCTGGAAAAAACTCTTTATAATTTAGTGGTAGAAGCTGCTTATGTGTTCATCACAATTGATTAAGGGGTGTAAGCCCTGAAATTAGATCTCTCCAATCAAGCCTCACTAATGTGACCCCCAGGGTGGGTTTATGGTGAGCTCTATATTTATAGCTGAAGTATATCATTATATATTATTTGAATTACAATCAAACTTAGGGGCCCCAGCTATGATCAGAAGCTTATTGTACTAGGCATTATCCATACACATAACAAGAGACACTCTCTGGATTAAAGCATTTGAATCTAAACAGAGAAGACAGAGAAAAGGAAGGGAGAAACAGAGGCACAGATGTGCCATAGTTTACCAAAGGTCACACAAAGGCTCAGTGACAGAGCAAAGATAATTTAATCCACATCTTCCAGTGCCAGGCTCATGAACTACCCACTGTCTCTCACCACATGCCTACACATAAACTTAGACTCTAACCATGAAATTTTTAAATTGCTGCTGCCCATTTCTCATGTTTATTTCCATAGGATTTCCCTGAGACTAAGGGGTTAAGGTGAACTGTAAGCACTTCATGAGGAAAACCTAGCATAGCAAATAATTTAATTACATTTTGCTAAATTCTGTTCTGGCTGGTCCCTTTTTATGCAGTAGACTGTTTTCCTTTCTAAAATACAAAGTAGTGATCTTGGATGCTTGGAGACATGAAGCCAAATACTATTCGTGGTTTCACCAATATAAATCTGGGTCAGATCCATGGAATGGTTCAGGCTTTCCAGCAGGGCATCCAACATCAGAATTTGACCCAGCTCGCAGCAGCCTTGGGCAAGTCACTTAATTGTGCCTCAATTTGTCTTCTGAAAAATGGGGATATTGATGACACTGACGCACCTTTGCAAAGCACTTTAAGATCCTAGTTTGAGAGGCCTAACACAGGGAAACATGTTCTTATTTATAACTAAGCTTTTTATTTCTTAGCAGATGAGGAATGTTCCACCACTGAGCATCCATACAAGAAACCCTACATGGAAACCTCCCCAGCAGATGAGGATCCCTTCTACAGATCCAGTTACTCCCAGCCACAAGGACTGAATACCTCATACAGGACTGAATCTGCCCAGCGCCAGGCTTGTATGTATGCCAGCTCTGCTCCCTCTACGGACCCCGTGCCCAGCCTGGAAGACATCAGCTGTAACACGTGGCCTACTGTGCCATCTTACAGCAGTTGCACAGTGGCTGCCATGCAGCCTATGGACAGACTACCTTACCAGCATTTCTCTGCCCATTTCACCTCGGGTCCTCTTATGCCCCGTCTTGCTGGTGTAGCCAATCACACATCACCACAAATAGGGGACACACATAGCATGTTCCAGCACCAAACCTCTCTCTCTCACCAGCCCATCGTCCGGCAGTGTGGACCTCAGGCGGGCATCCAATCTCCTCCCAGCATACAGCCAGCAGAATTCCTTTATTCCCATGGGGTGCCCAGAACCCTTTCACCTCACCAGTACCACTCAGTCCATGGAGTGGGCCTGGTGCCAGAGTGGAGCGAGAACAGCTAACGAGGCAATAAGAAAAATGCAAGAAATCTAGCCATGAAAAATTGAAAACAAACAAACAAGATTTTGCAAGACTCCATTAATCGAATGTTCACAGTTAGCACTCGAGAGATGGACACTGATCAGCTATGAGAAATCACAGATTAAATAGTAGCCATCCTTATTGTGACCTTTTTCTATTATTTTGTTCCAAAAGAAAATCAGCAAAAACAGCGCACTTTGCAAGAAATCTAGCCATGAAAAATTGAAAACAAACAAACAAGATTTTGCAAGACTCCATTAATCGAATGTTCACAGTTAGCACTCGAGAGATGGACACTGATCAGCTATGAGAAATCACAGATTAAATAGTAGCCATCCTTATTGTGACCTTTTTCTATTATTTTGTTCCAAAAGAAAATCAGCAAAAACAGCGCACTTCCTTTTTGGGGGAAAGGGGAAAATGTTGACATTGTTATATAATAAATAATAATAATATATATATATTCTTGCAATTATCTCAAAAATCCCTTTTTACAGAGGCCTAAAGAAAGTGGATTTCAGTGTGTATTATCTTTTTTTTAAACTAAAACAAATGACACTCCCACAAATCAGAAAAATAGGTATCTACCTCTGCCACGTGTTGTTTCATGATTGCAATTACTCACTGCATTGTGCTGTGTTCCAATATAAATGCGAAATGCCTGAAATTTGTCTCTAAAAGAAGCTGTCAAGTAAAATAATTTCCTTGCCAAGCTGGGCTCTGTATTTCTCTCTTTTTTCTTCCCTTCATATTTCTCTTTCTTCCTCTTCAACTGACTGGCTCTTATAAACCTTATGTCCTGGACTACCTTAAAAGCCACGTTGGTGTTCAGGAGTATTCTTAAAGGCAACAAGGAAACAAGGCTTTGGGTCAACCAGGGAGTTGCAGACAGCAACAGCAGTAAAAATCCTGTGTTCTTAAGAATTGTGAAAATATGGCTATGTCTACACTGCTGGCTTTACCAGCAGAGAATATGCTAATGAAGCATTCATTAGCAACTTCTCGTGCTTCATTTGCATATTTTCTGCCCAAGACTTTTTGCGCAAGAGGTTTTTCCGCAAAAACAAGCAGTGTAGACAGATCCGTTTTGCGCAACCCCCTCCCTTTTGCACAAGCTCCTTATGCTTCAAAAAAGGAGGTATATAGATCTTGTGCAAAAGGGGATTTTTGCACAAAACGGATCCATCTACACTGCTTGTTTTTGCGCAAAAAACTCTTGCGCAAACAGCATTGGCATTAGCATACTCTCTGCCAGCAAAAGCTGGCAGTGTAGGCATAGCTTATGTGTAGAATCAGTTCTTTCCTTTCAGTCTTTATTCTTCTTTCTCTATCAAAGAAAAGAAAAAACTGTAGTTCACATATGTTAAATGAGACACTGAACAGAGCATATTGAAAAAGTGTAGCAAATAATGAGGTAGTGGGAAAGCAGAATATGTATATAAATAAAAACTTCTATTGCAGGGTTCTTCAGATGTAATATTTTTACTGGTACTATTTATTTATAAACACGAGTTCTTATAAGTAATAACAGGTAATAAAACCAGCAAAGGAGCTGGTTGAGAGTCATTTTATTTTATTGATACTTGAATTCAAATATGGTTCCTTTTCTTTTTTCAAACTGTGCTACATATATAAATTAAAAGTGACCCTAATTAAGAGAACAGGGTATTGATGGATACGAAGGAAAATGAGGATGTGGGTGAATGGTGTGTGACTATGGATCTGTATGTGGGAGAATCTACAGAAATGCAACCACAACTATGTTGCTAAGGGGTGGGGGGGAAATCCCTAACTATTCATATCACAGTCTTGTGTGCCGGTTGATGTCTAATAAATACCATGTGCTATGAAGTACAAGGTACCCAGACATCCATCTTCTGTTCTTTCTAGCAAACATCCATATGTTACATTATTATTTGTTAGTATTATTCTATAGTAGGCTCCAGTAGAGTTTGAGACCCCATTTTGCTGTACATACAGATAGTGAAAGACACTCCCTGCTCCAAAAGGCCCACAATCTAAACAGGGAAAAGATGGGACAAAGGAAATATTATCATCCCTATTTTACAGCTGGGAAACTGAGGCACAGAGAAAATTAATTGTAGTGGGTCATAGCAGGAGTCTGAGGTTTAGACAGGAATTTTACCCAGAGCTTTCAAGTTCCATTTCTGTGGCTTAAGCACAAAACCAAGCTTCCTTCCAGTATAAAAGGAGTTTTAATAACAGGTGATATTTGGTTTAATATTCTTTTGTTTTGCTTATCCTTCTTTATGTTCTTCCATCTACCATTCATTATCCAACCTAGAATCTATCCTTAGCACCTTCCGGAGGCTAGATTCCACCAGCTGAACTCTGCAAATGTAGTCAGCAGAATAAGGCACAATGAGGTTGATTAGGCTGCAGCATGGTTTCAGTAGAGGAGTAGCAGAAATACCATCTCTTGGACAATTTAAAGCAAGATGTGAACTAGTATTAGAAAATATATTGTAAGGAGCAAACTGGCATTGACTCCCACACTGGGGATGGAATGAGGTGACCTAAAAGTTCTTCTCTAACTCTATTTTATATGGGCCTCATTCTGTTCCTATTAACAGCATTGGAAAAGTTCCCTTTAACTCCAATGGAAGAAGGCCACTGATCTTGTGACTCCCTGTGAACCCACCTTTCATTTCCATTGTACTTTCTGATGTTGTTTCCCTGCCATTAAAGATGTCATCAGCTTATCACCAAATGGAAATGTACCTGTAATTAAATGACCATTAAGTAACCATAGTAAAGGACTTATAAGAAATTTGTGCTGTGCATGTTAATAGCATTAGGGGAAATAAATCCATATTGGTCAATTATTTCTCAAGCTTCTAAAAAGCTTTTGACTCAATTAATTTAATTCCTTGTTTTGTTCATCCTTATTTTCTTAACAGAAAAAACAAACAAACCCTGAAGTCCATTTCTGGATTGTGTGAAATTGAGTTAGGGTTGGTAACTCTACTTTATATATTATTTACTTGAATTATGGTAGCTCCCAGAGTCCACAATTAAAATCAGGGCCTGTTTGTGCTAGGTGCTGTACAAACACAGGGAGAGAGAAACAGCTTCTGTCTCAAGGAACTTGCAATCTAAATGGACAAGACACCCAAAGGGTGGGACAGGAAAAAAGAAGTTTGTTTGACTTGCCTAAGGGCACATAACTAACTGACAGTCCCAAGAAGGTGTCTCAGATCTACTGACTCTCAACCCACTTTCCTGTCCTTAAGGATAGACCATATCCATGTCTAACTCCTATGCTCCCTATGGAATTCAGATCCCCGAGTTAGGGGCCCAAGCACTATTCCTAAGAAAAGATTCCCAGAAACCGCAAGCTGAGCAGCGAGTTACTTAAGCTACACAGGAGCAAAATGCAGAGAAAAGGGGCAAGTGTCCAGATCCCCAAAGCTACCTAGGTCCCCAGCTTTCACTGGTCTATCCCTCAGGTAACTGACCGATATGCCAGAAGAAAGTGCCCACCTCTGCTCTCAACCCCTCATCCTGGAGTCTTTTCTTGCAAAAATGTCACCCAGTGCCCCCTCCCTTTATAAACAACCCCGTGGTTTGAAAGGCTATCAGGAAGGTGGAAAATCTGCTTGCAAATCCCTGCTCTGCCTGATTTGGATCAGGGGCTTGAACCCACATCTCCTACATGGCACAAATGTGCCCAAATCTGTGGGATATTGGCTATTATGGGGTGTTTATCTGTGTGCGTGTGTGGAGTTTCTCCTGTTGGAACGTTCCTACTTTGTGTTAACTATTCAGCAGGCCGAGAATGTGAGATTGCTTGGAGGGGGAGAAGAAAAGGGGCTGGTATACAGGCAGGAAGGGTGTGCTCTGGGAATACGTACTGGCTCAGGCCTTGCAGGTGAGATAAGATAGGGAATGTCTCACTTGAGAATCCCATCAGAGTTCAGGCATGAGCTCAGGTGCCAAACAGCATAGTGGCTGAGGAGTGGATCAGGACTTTGGCAGTTTGGTGCATGACTCCCTGCAAAAACTTAGGCACCTGTGGCTCAATGGTGGTTTGTGCATGCTAGTGGCACCTAAATGTTGGATTAACATATCTAAAGAAGCAATTAGGTGTTTAAGTTCCTTTGCAAACCTGGTGACTGTGAAATATTAAGGGAGATTAGAAAGGCTATAAAAACATAAAACCCTCAATAGTGGTGATTTCAGCTCTCCCCATGTTGACTGGGGACATGTCACCTCAGGACGGGATGCAGAGTTAAAGTGTCTTAACACCTTAAATGACTGCTTCTTGGAGCAGCTGGTTCTAGAAACCAGCAGAGGAGAGGCAATTCTTGATTTAGAGCACAGGATTTAGTCCAAGAAGTGAATATAGCTGGCCTGCTTGGAAATAGTGACCATTATATAATTAAATGAAACATTCTTGTGGCAGGGGAAAAAACAAGCTACACAAAAATGAGGTGGTTAGTGAAACAGAATTTGAAAGTACAGTGCAAAAAGTAAAATCCCTGCAAGCTGCATAGAAGCTTTTCAAAGACACTATAATAGAAACTCAAATGTATACCCCAAATTAAAAAACATATTAGATAACCAAAAAAAAAGGTTCTGTGGCTTAACAACCAAATAAAAGAAGAAGTGAGAAATCTTTTAAAAAGTGTAAGTTAAATCCTACTGAGGAAAATAGAAAGGAGCATAAACTCTGGCAAATGAAGTGTAAAAATATCATTAAGAAAGCCAGAAGAGAATTTGACAAACAGCTAGCCAAAACCTCAAAAAGTAATAGCAATTTTTTTAAGCACATCAGAAGCAGGAAGCCTATTAAATAATCATGGGAGCCATTGAACGATCAAGATGCTAATGGAGTACTCAAGGAC